TCTTTTTCCTCTTTTGAAGGATGGTTACGATATAAGATTTGTTCCGTTTGGGTTTATGCTTCATGAGCTGATGGCTCAAGAGGTCCAAAATATTTATTCATGAACTATCTATTTAAAATTTAGCATCTCACATCTTTACCCTACATGTTCATTTAGTATCGTCAAAATGGTTTTTATAATCGCCTGCTTTCTTAAAAAATATGTTATAGTTCTTACTGAACTGAAAGAGTATGTTACTGGTAGTCAATGAACATTTGAGTAAAAACGATTCAGACTGTTTATAATATCATTAAAACATCATTAAAAAACAAGTTCCATGTAGTTTTGTCAGTACTTCCCCTATTATATAATAGATTTATTTTCAGACATGCGCAAGACCTCAGACACAACTTTCCGTCTTGCCCCGTCTCTCCGACAACCTTCTTTCCTCGCAAACATAAACCTTGTACTTCGGTATACCCTAATAAATTTTGAACGACTGTCTCAGGTAATTTCGACAGCACTTAACGCAATATAAGTGACGGCTTCGGGGAGAGAAATATTAATATAAATGCGGTAGAAGTTTTACAACTAGAGTTATACGAGGCTGTAAATGGTAAATGCTTTATTACTATTAGAAGGTGGTTAATTTACTAGAGAAAAATAGACGGTTTTCTAGGAGTTGGTTTAATTGACTGGAGACAGACGTGAGGCGTAATGGAAACTGTAATTGAGGATTTGAATGGAAAATGAATCGATTATTGCAAGCCTTTTCCTTGTTTTTAAAGCATTAATATATATATATATTATATATATATATATATATATATATATTCTAGCCCCCATTCAACCTTGAGAATTAGCTGCAGTTATCTTTCTAGATTGACCCGTAATTCGCTTATACAAATTTGTATAAGTTTGTTAACCCACACATTTAGCATTTTATTATTTAAATAAGGACTTCCTTGAAAGAACTTTATTATTTAAACTAGAATATATAGGCAAATTCGTATTAATGAAATATAAAAAAGTTTAGTCTGTCTTGAGCCACAGGACCGAAAAAATTTTATAAAAGTCAACATGATGTCAAAAACATTGACAAAGACAAAACGAATTGAGTATTATTGGTCTCGGCCACAACCTGAAAAAATCTTTTAACATAATTGAGCCTTATTTTAAACTCAAACAAATCACTGTGTAAATTATCTTTCAAAAATTAGGTAGTTTTGCTGCGACGCCGACATATATCTAAATGTTTTGGTAATTATATGTAGTAAAAATAAATAATATCAAATTGTGTTTGATTATGGTATTAATCCTTACAACCTGGAACCATAAGGCTTAAAATTTTGTTACAATATATATATATATATATATATATATAATATATAATATACATATATACATAACATCAACGAATAATTTTTAAAACTTAATTTGGAACTAAGTTTTAAGAGACATTCCTAAACTACAAGGCGTCTCCACCGTTTCTGCAAAAGATACCCGGGCACGTTTTGATAACGAAAATAAACTTGTCAAACTTCAAGGAAACTTATGTATTAACACTTTTCAACTTCAAAATCTAATTTTAGTATATTCGTCATATTTTTAAATTAGGTCACTAACAGGATATTATTAAAATTATCGTAATGATATAAAACTGGATGCGTGAGAAAATTTTGTCAAATGTTTTATGGACACAAATAAAACATTCTACACAATTTGGAAATAAAATTGCATAAATCTATGCTATGCAATGCTATTAAAATATTAAAGTAAAATATTTAATTTGTGTTTTATAGAACTAATCAGCAAATTTTATAATTCAACCTCTAGAATATTTTCAAATAATTTATATGTATCTTTGCATTTGTAAATGGTATATTGTTAACATACGATGATTATTTGCATATGCTATTTATATTACATCATATTCCTTAACATTCTTGTATATTTTTTTTTCTGTCAACTGTTTCGCAGGACATGCGCGACGTTCTATTTTTGGATATTTGCTATGAAGAATAAGTATATATATATAAATATATATATATATATATATATATATATATATATAATCTATATATATGTCTATGTATATATATATATATATATTAATATATATATAGTATATGTATATATTAAGAATATATACATACTAAAAATTCAAAACTTTATAGAAAACTAGTGAGTTATTAACACATAGAACATTTTGATATTAACTTAAGTATTATTTACTTTTGATTAATAGAGCAACTCTCACCAAATTTGCTAAAATAAATATAATTTAAAGTAATCAAATTTACTATTTTTACACTTCTTTGTCAAATTACACTACCATACTACTATACTGTCAAAACTACTATAGATGCTTTTGGTAATAAATAAATTATAATATATATTAATAAATATATATTAAATAAATGAATTATAAATAATTACTTTAATACAAAATAAAATCAGATAATAACATAATTTAATCACTTATCTATTTCATCTCTTTGACTTTTTTTGCATAGTCTAAAAAGGATGATCTAAATGAAAAAGATGGCAAATACTTTGGTAATGCATGTTGCATTTCAAAATTCAATTGTTCAAAATCGCAAAACCACATAATATATTTGTAATTACATTTCAAAAATGAATATGTATTCAAAATATTTCTTAAATATCAAACATATATAAAATTACGTAAAAAACGCATTTACATTGAAAATAATATTGCGTAATATCAATTTCATATCACAATATCTAATGTTTTCATCTTTATATAATATATTTTATTCCGCTAATTTCAAGTCAAATTGAAAAAGCTGTGTTTGTTTAAATATATTTTTAAACCTGATTTTTGAGAAAATGTACCAGCGCAAATATGTAGTTTAGCAAATTAATATTTCAAAATCATTAAATTCGTATAAAATATCTTTTAAAAACTATTTTCTTTGAATTCTGAAATATTAAAAACTCAAACAAAGCAGACACCTCATTTACTTCATCTACCTTATTACATCACGTTCAAACTCTTGTGACATTTAAAACTTTGTTTTGTCTTCTTTACATCTCCATAATATAAATTCAACAAACCGAAAAGTTCGACCAACTATGCACTAGTACAATATACCACTAGTTCAAATCCACATTTAACACACGTTTATGTGCTTTGACTAAGTATATGCACGTTTAAAAGCTCGTATATAGTGAAGCTTAAAAGCTCCGGGGCTCAAAAGTTCAACAAGTGCCAACCATTCCCAACTGTTGCACGAGAGAAAGAGAGAGAAAGAGCGAAGCAAAATGTGTGCAACGGTCAATTCAATTCGGTTGATGAGTTCAAGTTTTGTTGCCGGAGAAAACTTTACAGGGACAAAAATAAATGAGATGGTGCATTTGTGAAGGATCTTTATTTGTGGTATCGTTGTTGGTTTAAAAGTTCATGCAATACGTTGCAAATAATTGAAAAAAAATGTTTGTAGAGATTGTGATTTAAGAGATTAAGAGTTACTTTACCAGTTAATTGTGGTTGACAAATACACTTATCATGGAGAAGTGGCAGAATTTTGTGTATTGATGAGTCTATTCGTCATACATATGAAACAGTGATCATTTGCTATACAAATTGAAATTTCCAAAAATAAAAGAACTAGTGGTGTATGGCATCGTGCCTTATGGCAAGTTGTTGGAACGTCCCGTACCGTAACGAAATATTCGACGAATATTAAATGTTCAAATAGATTATAATAAATATTATAACATGGTCTAATATTTGTAAGAATTATTAAAATTGAATTGCAAAATTGAAATTATTTGTTTGAAGTATATTAGAACTTAAGTCAGAATTAAAATCAAAATCTGAATTATTTTCGATATACAAAATTTTTTTTAAAAAAAATTGGAATATTTTTTTTTCCAAAACCAATTATTTTGTTAAAATAAGCAAAAAGTTTTTAGAATCATTCAATTTCGACGCTTAGTTATCTCAAAAACTGCAATTTTTGTTTATTTAGCTCTGTATTTTTGAAATGGCTGGACATGCCTTTGTCAAAAACTAATCACCTCTTCTCACAATAATAAAAAATTGAATGTTTTTTAACTTCCCGTAGGGCAAGTTATAGTTATCGCAAAAAATCGAAAATAAAAATGTTTATATATCTTTTCGTTTCAAAACCTTCTGAACATTTTGGCATACCTTAGAAAAAATGATGTGTATGTGCATGTATGTGTGTGTGTTCGGATACAAATTTTCGTCGACGATTTCGGGAACACAGATCAACCGATTTGAATAATTAAAAAAACATTCGATTCGTAATGATAAGGAGACGTGCTAATTAGTTTTTGGCAAAGGCAGGTCTAGCCATTCCAAAGATACGGGGCAAAAAGTTCCGAAAACGGTAACTCAGTTTTTAATAGATATTTCACAATTTCAGAAAAACATTTTACTTGTATTGACAAGATGAAGAACTGATCAAATTTTCATGAGGGCAGGTCTAGCGGTTTCGGAGATCTAACGAAAAAAGTAAAAAAAAATGCCACCTGGCGGTCAAAAATGATCATTATACATATGCACATCAAATTATCAGATATTTTATAGAGATTTTAACAATAAGTATAAACTTTGTTTACATTCCTGTAGGTTCCGTAACAATTTTTATCCGTTAGATAGCGACGCGGCGCTTACGCGCTTTATATTTTGTCTCTTTACAGTTAAAGCAGTACGATTGCTTTGAAAAAAAGTTCAGATCTTCCAAAATATGTCAAAATAAAGAAAACTTTTTTTTTCAAAAAAAGAAACACAGCGCGATAGTTTGTAATCAGAATTTTGAAAAAAGTAATGGCTTTAAATATTTTCAATTACATTGCGGATTTTTCTAGCAGTTTGCCATAAGGAACGATGCCATGCTAGTTGCTTCACAAAACTGGTCCGCCTTCTAATTGTAAACATTTGCTTACTCAATTAACTAGTTCTACTAAACTGTATCAAATTATGTAATTTATAATTATCAGACAAATGAAACCGAGATACGTATTATTTGAGTAATATGCAGGAAACTTTTGTACAATTATCGATTTCTGTGTTGGAGTCCTCAACATATGTTCATAGTTTCTGGAACATGACATACTTAGCTTAATATCGATAATGAGGTAATGTTTCTTGAAAATGTATAGGCGTAAAAAAAGGCAGACGACAATTTTCTGCTAATATAAAAAACGCGCAAATTATTGACTATTGAGAATTTGTTTCTATGTCACAAACACATATTTTTATATCGAGTATCAAGATAGCTAGTGCTGCAATATATATGAAACATATATATAAAACGGAATTATATGTTGCTACATCAACAAAATTTTCATACAAATTAGTAGCCTTTCTGCCTTAGGTATTTTATAAAAAGCTGTGTCTACTGCAATACAAATGCAAATATTTTACTCATAACAATTTTCTATTCGGCAGGTGCGTCAGATGCTAATTACCAAAAGTAAATATTCACTCTACAAACACTAGGTATTACCATACGCACTAGTGAACACGGCTCAAGGCAGAAATTCGCAATAATAAACACCACGGATATAGGAGAAAACCATGAAATTGGATACATATTGCATATTAGAAATGAATTAGTGGTGCATGGCATCGTGCCTTAAGGCAAATTGCTGAAACTTTTTGTATCATAATTGAACATACGAGGAATAAAAATAAACTGCAAACTTGATGGAACTTTGAAAAATATTGTTTTTTGGGAATTTTGAAATTTTTAAAAAGAAATGACTTTTTTGAAAAGAAAAAGGATTTTTTTTTATTTTTAAATATTTTGGAAATTTTGAACTTTTTATCAAAGCAATCGAGCTGCTTAAGCTGCGTAAATATTGAAGCGAATAAGCACCGCGTCGCAGTCTAACGAATAAAGAATGCTATGGAACCCATTGAAATGTAAACAAAATTCATACATTGAATTGTCCTGGCTGGTGGTTGATATATTGGGAGGTATGTTCTAGATCACCAGTAAGACCAGGAATTGTAATGATAGGCTGGACCCGAGCGGTAAACAGTTGAATAGTTGTTGAAATATTATATTTGTGATGTGGACTCTCCAGAGTCCACTGGTAGTGTGATAGGCCTTTAGGACGAACAGCGATTTGATAGTAATTTGTAAACACACTTCTTACTTTGAATGACACTTTATTATTCACTATTTTTACAATTAATATTTGTTGATAACCCTTTGGTTATCATATCAGCAAAGACTACATTTTACTGAATACTATGTCTGGCTCCAAGCTTGACTCCAAGCTTCTCTCCAGGTTTGACTGTGAGCTTGACTGACTCCAGGTTTGACTGACTGTCTAACTTTTGTCTAACTCTTATATACTAATTTATTGTTTACAACCTAATTACAAAATCCAACAGTAAGCACTTCCGATGTCCGCGTAACCTACATATAACTAGCAACGCGTTTTGTAATTATTAAACAAAATAATGATTCGAATTGTTATTACAGTTCAACCTCCCTCTTCAAAAGTTTTTCGTCCTCGGAAAACTATAAAAATTAAGAAAAATTTAAAAAAAAATGAGTTCCATCTCTTCTTCCTTCGGCCCTTAAAAACTTTTGTCCTCAAAAGTGTCATTACTGTTAGAATATGTTTACAAATAATGTGCTCTGAAAAAAATCTAATAATAATTTAATTTTTATCTCTACATGAAAAAATCTATAATAACATACATAAAAAAAATCAGCAGTTGAATGCAATTTAGATGGTCGCTGATTATGTAAAGGCATCACTGAAATTTAAAATGTTATTCCGATAAAACAAAATATGCTTCGAACAACTTACCATAAATGATGCAAAATAATATTTTTTTCCAAAACTTCAATAGAGCATAAAAATCATAATATGAAAAATGTCTTTAAAATCTGCAAAAAAAATATTAATGGCGTAAAGAATCTTGCATTTGATAATTTAAATCATAAATAGTAATCAATGAAAATTTAAATTTACGTTGTATTGTTGATACTTGATACATTAGAATTTTGCTAGGTAATCAAAATTGGACAAATGCTGCTTTGAAATATGAGAATTCGCTTATGTGTCAACCAAACAAAATGACTTGCGTTGTTACTATTGTGTTTACACCTGGCGAGTTTTCAGTTTCTTCCGGTATTTATAATTAAACAATTTTGGTGCTGTTCTGAATATAATAAAATCGGGAATCTTTCTCTTCTTTACATGTGTTTGCGACGATATCAATTTTCTGCTGCTTTGGCTTTGTAAATGTGCATATTTCTCATTTGTTTTCAAATTCATATTCTTACGGTTGAACATATCTGTCATAGTGGCTATATTTTCATTTATAGACAATTTCCGTTGTGAAGGTATTTTTCTTATCATATTAATATTATATTCCCTGATTTCTTGATTATTTTCTTCTATAATTTCATCATTAATTTTTCTTCTTTTATTATTTCTTTTCTTTTTCTTTTTCTTCTTTATTTTAATGGGAATAGTTTTCATATATTCTGGTCCTTCATCATTAAATATTCTTATTTCTTCTTGTTTATCATTATTTTTTTTCATATCGTAAACCTCATCTTGGGTTTGTTCCATATCTTGTGCCACATATATGTTCAGATCCTTTTCTTCTTCGTATGAATTTGTTCGTATGGTTTGTTCCATATCTTTTGCCACATATAGATCCTTTTCTTCTTCGTATGAATTTGCACGTATGGTTTGTTCCATATCTTCGGCCACATATAGATCCTTTTCTTCTTCGTATGAATTTGCAGCGATTGTCGTCAACTCTTCTATTTTGGTGTTGTGAGTCAAACTTTCTTCTTTGTATTCTTCTTGTTCTTCGGATTCTTCAGATTCTTCCTTAGTTGTTATGAATGCCTTGTATGTATCATCATATGTTTTTGTATATTTCAGATCCTTATTACTTTCGTAGTCCATTCTATCGTCATTTCCACCATTGTAGATTCTAAGTTTGTCATCTCTTTTCCTATTTGTAAGTTTTCGACATTGGTTAATGTGGTGTCCCCTTTTCTTGCAGTATCTGCAAGTGACGAATGGGTTGTATTTTTTATCAGATCTGATGTTTAAATATTTTTCTTCCTTTGCAGCAATGTGCATAGCATCTTTCAAATTTTCCGGTTTGGCTGCTTTAACTATAATTTTCAAGTCCAATGGTAGGCCTTTAACAAAAACTGCCAAAGCCAAGTCACAATATGATGGATACGCTATTTCATTTTGTGTAAAATAGCATTCGTTGTTTATTAACGTAAGCAAACTCTCAACTTCTCTGCAAACTTCTCAATCGATTCCCCATTTTTCTTGTTGTTGTTGCTAGCTCGTGATGTAACTCAGCGATGGACCTTCTATCTTTAAAACGTTTAATTAGAATAGGTTTGATATTATTCCATAACTGATAATCAGCCCGTCTAATGCAATCAAAAGCTGTTCCACTAATTTACAAATAACAATTTTTGATATAAATTTGTATGTCTTAAAATCTACATCATCTAAAATTGAGTCTACAGTACTTAAAAATCTATAAAGGTCATCTGAATTGCCATTGAATTCGGGTATAGTGCTAATTGCTAATTGAATTCTAAATTTATTTATTTCTATACTATTATCTTTACCTTCTCTAGCTTCTTCAAAAATGGGTTCCATCTTGAGATATGATTAGATTTTGATTTGCTTACTTGAATCCGATGAGATAGTTATGTCCAAGTTAGTCGTAGTCTCGCGTTCGTTCTAAAGTTCTTCGGTAGGCGCCACCATCCCTTAGTTTGTGCTGCGAATGATCGTTTGGTTTGTCGAGTTGTGGCAGCTTTGAACTCGATGTCTCCGTCAGAAAATTCTTCAGCGCTACGAGGGAAAAAACCGCTAAGCCACCATGAATTGTCCTGACTGGTGGTTGTGTATTTGGGAGGTTGGTTCTGGATCACCAGTACGACCAGGAATTGTAATGATAGGCTGGACCCGAGCGGTAAACAGTTGAATAGTTGTTGAAATATTATATTTGTGATGTGGACTCTCCAGAGTCCACTGGTAGTGTGATAGGCCTTTAGGACGAACAGCGATTTGATAGTAATTTGTAAACACACTTCTTACTTTGAATGACACTTTATTATTCACTATTTTTACAATTAATATTTGTTGATAACCCCTTTGGTTATCATATCAGCAAAGACTACATTTTACTGAATACTATGTCTGGCTCCAAGCTTGACTCCAAGCTTCTCTCCAGGTTTGACTGTGAGCTTGACTGACTCCAGGTTTGACTGACTGTCTAACTTTTGTCTAACTCTTATATACTAATTTATTGTTTACAACCTAATTACAAAATCCAACAGTAAGCACTTCCGATGTCCGCGTAACCTACATATAACTAGCAACGCGTTTTGTAATTATTAAACAAAATAATGATTCGAATTGTTATTACAGTTCAACATATTATTAAAATCTCTATAAAATATCTGATAATTAGACGTGCATATTTCTAGTGATCATTTTTGACCGCCAAACGAATTTTTTCTTACCCTTTTTACTCGATCTCCGAAAAATATCAGTTCTTCATTCTGTCAATACAAATAAAATATTTTCTGAATTATTGAAATCGAACGCTCTGTTCTCTTAAAAACTTAATTACCATTTTTGGCACTTTTAGCCCCGTATCTTCAAAACCTACTTTGACCAAAACTGATCAGCGCGTCTCCATATCTATTAGAATCAAATGCTTTTGGAATCATTCAAATCGGTTGAACCGTTTTCCTGAAATCATCGACGAAAGTTTGTATCCGCACACACACACATACATCACATGCACATACTTCAGATGCCTTTGAAACGTAAAGATACATAAAAATTTTCATTTTTGTTTTTTTTACATTACGAAAAGCTATTAATCGCCAAAAATTTATCAATGAATAAACTAAATTTATCAAAGCATAAACTAAACCTAATCGAGACATTTGAGACAAAACTTTTCGGAAAAATATATTTTTTGCATAATTTTTTTTTTTTATGAAAATGTTGATATTAACTTCCCGTAGGGTAAGTTATTGAAATGAGCCGAAAATCGAAACTGAAAATTTTTACATTTCTCGACGTTTTGAAGGTTTCTGAACGTTTTGGCATACCTCAGAAAAAATGGATGTGTGTGAGTGTGTATGTATGTATGGATACAAATTTCCAGTCACGTTTTCGGGCGCACGGATCAACCAATTTGAATGGTTCAAAAAACATTCCATTCCAATTGATAGGGAAAAGAGCTGATTAGTTTTTGGCGAAGGCAGGACCAGCCGTTTCGGAGATACGGAGCAAAGAGTGTAGAAAATAGAAATCGACTTTTTGAGAGAACGGAGTACCCGATTTGAATGATCTAAAAAAAATTCAATTAGTAATGATTGGGAGAAGTGTTAATTAGTTTTTGGCAAAGGCAGGCCCAGCCATTTCGAAGATACGGAGCTAAATAGGTAAAAAATGGCAGTTTTTGAGAGAACTAAGCGTCCGATTTAAATAATTCAAAGAACTTTCTGCTTGTCTTAACAAAATAATTCATTTCGGAAAAAAAAATGTATATATTTTTTTTTTTTAGTTTTTTTTGTATATCAAAAATAATTCAGATTTTATTTTTATTCTGACTGAAGTTCTAATAACACTTAAACAAATAATTTTAAATTTGCAATTCAGTTTATATAATTCTTATAAATATTAGACAATGTTACAATATTTATAATAGTCTATTTGAAAACATTCAGTATTTCTCGAACATTTCGTTACGGTACGAGAAGTTCCAGCAATTTGCCCTTAGGCACGATGCCATACACCCTAAAAATGCTACACCTTCCTTTATCATAAACTAGTCATTTTATTAACCCTTTGCGCTCCGTATCTGCGAAATGGCTAGACCAGCCTTTTGCAGCAACTAAACAATACGTGTCGTGGTCAGTAGGAACCGATTTTTTTGTATTATTTAATCAATTGTTTTTTGTATTATTTAATCAATCAATAATTAATTAATCTATGTAGATGTAAATGACATTGTTTAAGCCACATAAATCATCTTTAAAAATTAAAATCTTGGTACAAATGAGAACAAAATTAGTACTCAATATTTAAATTTCTATAAACGACGTAAATTACTTTTTTTAGATCTCCTAATCCGCTGGACCTTACCTCCAAATTTAGTTAATGCTCCATTTTGTCAATGCAAGTGAAACTTTCTTTTTCAATTATTCAAATCAGCCTGGTCTGAAAAACGTATTTGTCCATTTTTTGTGATCATAGTTTTCCAGCAACGATAAAGAAAAAATAAATTAAATTTCTATTATTATCGCTGTTGGAATTGGGTTAGAATTTAAACGGAATGTCAATAATCATATGTGAGAACCGGATTAAGCATTTAAAGTGCAAATCCTGATGACATATGCATGAATGCATGAATGCAACTTCATGCATAATAATGGATCCATTTGCAAACTATGAAGAGGATTAAAGACTGCACTTTGAAAATGCAGCACATTTCAATCAGTTTCGACATATATTTTAAAATTCCGAATTTATATCGGTAAAAAATTTACTGATTAAAATTGATTTTTTTTAAATTGATTGTAATTGATTAATTTTTGAATAGAAATTAATTAATTTACTATATATGAAAACTATATATAACTATATATGAAAGATGAGAATCAAAATTTAATTATTTTTGAAGTAAAACTTCTTTAGGCGCGACTAGGGTGTAAATCCGTACAAATGCAACGGAAGCGTTACGGCAGATAAGATAAGAGTCGAGTGCCAATGCAAAGATTCGTCATTCGTTCTCGATGATATCATTTCTATATACGGGACGATTGTGATTAGTCGTGACGTATGTGAATAGAGATTTGTCGTTGTATACGTACCGGTGTCAACGTTGTATGCGTACCGATATCAACAAGGAAATCGGCATAGATAAATATCGTAGTACAAATCTGGATTTAATGAAAAATGCCTGAATCAGAAGAATATTTTACCCTGTCTCCCGTAAATAATTATAATGAAAATAATAAAACAAATGCAGGATTTGCGCCGTGTATGAAACATAAGTTTATTGAAATAATTTCTATTTCATTTGTAGTTTATATAAATATTTGAAGTTATTGAAATGGAAAATATTTTTTAGGAAAAATAGATATTACAGCTGTTCAAAGAATAAGATTATATTGCCAGCGAAAAAGTAAAAAAAATACCATCAGTCAATGATGTATGTTAATTTTAATGACATGAAGTTCTTCAAACACAATTATCACATGATGGGTGAAGTTGCAAAAACAATGTTTGGTTAGGCGTTATTCAACATAATCCACTGTGTGAATGAATATTATAGAATTTATTAATCAGCAATTACTTCATTTTTCTAATGAAGGTTCGTTTCTAAATACTAATTACAATGTCAAACCGGTCATGTCATATTTGAAGTATGACTTTATTTACATTTTTGTTTTTAAATATTATACATATTTTTAATGCTATTATAAATATATAACTTATGATTTATCACTATATAAATGTGTATAATAGTTGACACTAATAATTGTGTGCATCACGAGTGTTACCATATTACTAATAAACATTATTTAAAATTGTTATATGATGTATCGATTTTTACTTAAATGCCATCTTGTACACTAGCAAATAAATTTTACTTCAATCGCGTGAGAACCTTACGCGCACTCTTTTTTTAATAAAAAATCAAATAAAATTTATACTTTGATACAATAAAGTTTACTTTACATGATTTTTTATTCACTGGCAGTCGACGACTTAAAAATTTCTATTGCAATATCGCGTCTGTGCTAATAAAGCAAAATAAATTTGTGTTATCAATACTATATAATAATAAATATCAAAATTTCAAAAAAAAATAATTTCTCAAAATTTTCAAAATATTTGAAATTTTTTGTGAAATTTAAAACTTTGAAAATTTTCAATAATTTTTCAAAAAAATTCAATCATTTCAAAAATTAATGATTTTTTCAAAGTTGACAAAAAACTAATTTTTGGGAAATTTTTGAAAATTTTGAAGAAAATATCTTCAAAATTTTCAAAAATTTCCGAAAAATTAGTTTTCTGCTTTCCTCGTATATAAGTTGTTTATAAAATACGCTCTTTCGTCCAATTTAAAAAGCACTTATAAATTTATAGTATTTATAATAATATATTTAAAAAAAATGAAATCGTTATTATAATTCATTGATCACTTTTATTAATTACAGTACATCTTTATTCCTCGAATGTTTACGGAAAGTTCCAGTAATTTGCCTTTAAAACAAACCTTTTGATTCCACAGACCCACAAAAAGTCTAAATCAATTCAAAATGCCTTAACACGTCGAGTATACTCGACTTTTATGTATATAAACATAAAATTATTATGTTAACTCGAATTTTATGTTTATAAACATAAAATTAGCAAATTGAATTTTTTGGGCGAAAACAAACTTCTCCTTCGCAAAGCTAAAAAAACTGTCACAACGAGCTTTTAGCTCCCTCATAGATTTAATGATATAATATAATATAACAGATAAAAAAACTCCATTTAAAATGGTATTCCGGAAAAATGTTTCCTATTATTTGACACCGTATTTTTCATTATTACCTAAATTTTCGTATGATCATGATTTG